CATTTAATATATATATATATATATATATATATATATATATATATATAATATATATATATATATATATATATATATAACAAATATATATACATATATATATATATATATATATATATATATATACATAACAAATATATATATACATACATACATACATATATATATACATATATATATATATATATATATATATATATATTGTATGATTCTGAATTTGATGTTGACATATGTATTAACAAAATCTAATAATCGGGCATAACATCAATAAAAAACATGAATTTCTTTCAAAAATTTATTTTAAATCCATACGTTTCGGCTATAATCCTAGCCTTCATTCAGTGGAAACTAAAAATAAAATTAAAAACTAAAACAATTGAATTGGAGTGAAAAGAAAAAAATAAAATAGTAATTAGTACTTACAATTTGATCTTAGTGTTAAATTGGAAAATTTTAATAATCCATGGTATTAGAATATGGTAATGCACTACACTATGTATTATAAACATTAACTTGAAAATACACAATATTTTCACAAAATACTGATTTGAAAAAATCACAAATGAATAGTGTGTTATTCGTAGACTGGTTGAAGATGTAATGGAGAAAGTCATTTTTTAAAAAATATTTTACCAAGATTCTGCACATGTGTGGAACGAATTGTAAAACCTTTGCGCGAACGCTTTTATTGTTTTGTAAGAAATTTGGAAATTCAGACAATGAACTCGATAAGTTTCTTAGACATAAAACTTATACGCACTACAGATAACAAACTAATAACAAATTGGTACCAAAAACCAACTAACTCCGGACGCTACCTTAATTACTTTTCTTATCATCCACTCAAAATGAAAATAGGTACTATAATAAATCTAACGGACCACGCAATACTTCTATCGGACAAAACATTTTGGGACAACAACATCAAATTAATTACAAAAATTTTAACAGATAACTCTTATCCTCTAAAACTTATAAATTCCGTAACTAGTAACAGACGAACGTACCTTTTGAATAAAATGGACAATTGCACAGTACATAACGATTTACCTGACTCAGAAACTCATTCTGGTGTAATATGTTTGCCATACATTAAAGAATTGTATGTTCCTTGGAAAAAACTTTTTTATAAATCTGGACTTCGACTTGTAACCAATTTTAGTACAACTACTAGCACTATTTTTACAAAAACAAAAACCCCATTTAATATCGAACGACTCAGAAATCTCGTCTATCAAATAAATTGTTTAGACTGTGATTTAATTTACATAGGAGAAACTAGCCAGAACCTCAATAAACGGTTACAACAACATAAAAACAATTCAAAAAACCCCAAACAATTCAAAACTGTTCTTGCAGACCATATATACACTTTAAAACACAATATGGACTTTTCTAATCCGACTATACTACAATTTGAACAAAATTTATTTAAACGAAGAATTATAGAGGGATCTTTTTTAACTATTTATAACAATAAGACAATAAATAAACGGAATGAACTCAACACGCTGTGCGACACAAATCTCTTCTATTTAGATAACATTTCCAAATTTCTTACAAAACAATAAAAGCGTTCGCGCAAAGGTTTTACAATTCGTTCCACACATGTGCAGAATCTTGGTAAAAATATTTTTTAAAAAATGACTTTCTCCATTACATCTTCAACCAGTCTACGAATAACACACTATTCATTTGTGATTTTTTCAAATCAGTATTTTGTGAAAATATTGTGTATTTTCAAGTTAATGTTTATAATACATAGTGTAGTGCATTACCATATCCTAATACCATGGATTATTAAAATTTTCCAATTTAACACTAAGATCAAATTGTAAGTACTAATTACTATTTTATTTTTTTCTTTTCACTCCAATTCAATTGTTTTAGTTTTTAATTTTATTTTTAGTTTCCACTGAATGAAGGCTAGGATTATAGCCGAAACGTATGGATTTAAAATAAATTTGAATTCATGCCCGATTATTAGACTTTGTTATATATATATATATATATATATATATATATATATATATATATATATATATATATGTATGTATGTATGTAAAATTTTACAAATATGTATCAACGTCGACAAAACTTTCATCATATATATATATATATATATATATATATATATATATATATAATATATATATATATATATTGAGGATTTTTTGTTCGACGTTGAAACATATTGAAATGAATAAAACAGCCAATGCGTCGAATGTAAAGAATTTATTTTATTTTTTATACGTTTCGAGACTAGATGTGTCTCATCATTCAGCTAAAAGAAATTTACATTATAAAGAAAAAGTTTAAAAAAATGAATTTATATTGGAAAATTAATTGAAAACAACAATTATACACACCAGATCAGGAAAAACCACACTATATTAACACATTTTACAACACCACAATCACATATTACTACTGTAGGAAAGCAAAAATAATTTAAGAAAAGACCAAAAAAGGTAAAAGTAAAATTGTATGAAACACATAATTTTGTTTTTAACCCATAGCATAGCAACACGGTTTGACTTATTTGCGTCGGCGACGAGTAGTACGCTATGCTGCCTGAACGCGAGCGGAAAGTGGGGATATCTATATATATATATATATATATATATATATATATATATATATAATAAATGTATTCTGAGTGGATAATAGATATTAATTTGGAAATATGAACAAACAACACTCTTTTTTGCACTATTTTATTAAATAATAATTTTCACAAACGTTTCAAGACTAGGTTTGTCTCATCATCAGTGTGTTATAATTTGAAATTTAAAATATGGAAACCCAAATTAGCATTATGTGTTATCCGTTACACGTTGTTCGAAATGCTAATTAAATGTTACACATTAATGGGTTTCCATATTTTAAATTTCAAATTATAATACACTGATGATGAGACAAACCTAGTCTCGAAACATTTGTAAAATTATTATTCAATAAAATAGTGCAAAAAAGAGTGTTGTTTGTTCATATTTCCAAATTAATATATATATATATATATATATATATATATATATATATATATTCAATAGATAAGTCCTGGATTTTTTCAATATATTGATTGTTTCTTTTCCGAACAGTAAATCCAATAATAAAAAACAATTTGTTTTTTGAAGATGTTTAATACGACGTTTCGGAACTAGGTACGTTCCATCATCAGGTTTATTCTGTCAAATACAATGTTTTTTAAAAAAAATATTGATTAACATTAATTAACAATGGTCAATACAGATTAATTAGAAAAAAAAAAAAAAAAAAAAAATTATAAAGGAATGGATTATGTACCGGGGTAAAGAGTAATAAAACTTAACTAAAAAAGGTTTTATATAAAATTGAGAAGCAAAAATTATTTACCTGTAATAATTTATATATCCATATCACTAATATTTTTTTGTTAAAAACACTCGATTTTTTTGGAAGATATTTGTAGATGTTACGACTACACAAGACTTAAACACACTGATATGGATTTCTGTCTGCCAGATGTAAAGGACAACGCACGGAATTCTTGGCAAAAATGATTTTTTATGGCTCTTGTTTGGTAATTTACGAAAAAAGTGGAAATATTGCTTTAGTAAATGTTGAGAAATATTATGTATATATATATATATACATACATGCACATGTACATGCACACCTACATACTCATAAATACATATGCACATATCTATATATTAATGTATCCACAATTATATACATGAACATATATGCAAGTGCATGTATATAGTGTACACACAAAAACATACATATAAGCACATATATGGATGTACATATATTATAACATATATACATGTATACATATACACACTCAAAAATTATTAGGATTAATTATTTTTAATCAGGTTTAAAAAATTTAAATATGAGTCATGAATGATATTGTGATCTGATCTTTTATTAACACTTTTTGACGAATTCAAAAAGATTAAACTGCTTTCAGAAAAAAGTCTTTTAAAAGTACAATCCTCTCTATTTATAGAAGTTATATTTTATATAGAGAGGATTGTACTTTTAAAAGACTTTTTTCTGAAAGCAGTTTAATCTTTTTGAATTCGTCAAAAAGTGTTAATAAAAGATCAGATCACAATATCATTCATGACTCATATTTAAATTTTTTAAACCTGATTAAAAATAATTAATCCTAATAATTTTTGAGTGTGTATATGTATACATGTATATATGTTATAATATATGTACATCCATATATGTGCTTATATGTATGTTTTTGTGTGTACACTATATACATGCACTTGCATATATGTTCATGTATATAATTGTGGATACATTAATATATAGATATGTGCATATGTATTTATGAGTATGTAGGTGTGCATGTACATGTGCATGTATGTATGTATATATATATATATATATATATATACATAATATTTCTCAACATTTACTAAAGCAATATTTCCACTTTTTTCGTAAATTACCAAACAAGAGCCATAAAAAATCATTTTTGCCAAGAACTCCGTGCGTTGTCCTTTACATCTGGCAGACAGAAATCCATATCAGTGTGTTTAAGTCTTGTGTAGTCGTAACATCTACAAATATCTTCCAAAAAAATCGAGTGTTTTTAACAAAAAAATATTAGTGATATGGATATATAAATTATTACAGGTAAATAATTTTTGCTTCTCAATTTTATATAAAACCTTTTTTAGTTAAGTTTTATTACTCTTTACCCCGGTACATAATCCATTCCTTTATAATTTTTTTTTTTTTTTTTTTTTTCTAATTAATCTGTATTGACCATTGTTAATTAATGTTAATCAATATTTTTTTTTTAAAAAACATTGTATTTGACAGAATAAACCTGATGATGGAACGTACCTAGTTCCGAAACGTCGTATTAAACATCTTCAAAAAACAAATTGTTTTTTATTATTGGATTTACTGTTCGGAAAAGAAACAATCAATATATATATATATATATATATATATATATATATATATATATATATATAAATAAATATGCTTACATCGGTTAAGAATCCAATAGCCTCTCGAGAGTCCCTTTTCTCTGTAATATAGTTATATGCACAAAGTAATGCTAAACCACTTGAATGCCGCTCTTTGTCCTCCTCAGATGCCAAGAAAAAAATTATGCCAATTCTAACAGGCGCTTTGTGAATTACAAAAGATTCGATTATTTTCAATAGAGGCCTTGAAGACAACTCTGTTGGATCCATGATAAGAATCTAAAATTTAACAAATATAATGAATATATATATATATATATATATATATATATATATATATATGTATATATGTATTTATATATATATATATATATATATATGTATATATGTATTTATATATATATATATATATATATATATATATATATATTCAATGGCTCTTTCTATTATCAAATTTTTGGGGAGCCAATGGGGTCCCCAGCAAGTCCATCTCTAGCAGAAATATCTTTACAACTTCCTGGAAATACAATTTTTAAAAATTACAATAAACGTATTTTTTATTACCGTTATGCAGATGACATTATCACTTGCATCTCTAGTGATGATGTCACTATGATCATTAATCAATTTAATAACGTCAATAAAAAATTAAAATTTACAGTAGAATTGGAAACAATGAACTCGATAAGTTTATTAGATATAAAACTTATACGCATTACTGATAACAAACTAATAACAAATTGGTACTAAAAACCAACTAACTTTGGACGTTACCTTAATAATTTTTCTTATCATCCACTCAAAATGAAAATAGGTACTATAATAAATCTAACTGACCACGCGATACTTCTATCGGACAAAACATTTTGGGACAACAACATCAATTTAATTACAAAAATTCTAACAGATATCTCATATCCCTTAAAACTTATAAACTCCGTAACCAGTAACAGACGAACGTACCTTTTGAATAAAATGACCCAGAAACTCATTCTAGTGTAATATGTTTGCCATACAAAAGAATTATATGTTCCTTGGAAAAAACTTTTTTATAAATCTGGACTCCGACTTGTAAACAATTTTAGGACAACCACTAGTACTATTTTTACCAAAACAAAAACCCGTTTTAATATCGAACGACTTAGAAATATCGTCTATCAAATAAATTGTCTAGATTGTAATTTAATTTACATAGAAAAAACAAGCCAGAACTTAATGAAACGTTTACAACAACATAAAAACAATTCAAAAAATCCAAGGCAGTTTAAAACTATGGTAGCAGAGCATATTTATACTTAAAACACAATATGGACTTTTCTAACCCGACTGTACTACAATTCGAACAAAATTTATTTAAACGAAGAATTATAGAAGGATCTTTTTTAACTATTTGTAACAATAAAACAATAAATAAACGGAATGAACTTAACACACTGAGCGATACAAATCTCTTTTATTTAGATAGCATTTCCAAATTTCTCCCAAAACAATAAAAACGTCGCGCAAAGAATTCGCAAGTCGTTCTACACATGTGTAAGAATAAAAAAAACAGATTTAACCCTCCGTCGGTCGGCGTGGTCTGGCCAGACTTTTTTCGCCTTCAATTAAAAATAAAAAATACTTCTAGTAATCCTATCGACTTGAAATTTCTTGACTTTTCCTAAAATTTCATTAGCTGTCGATCAATGAAAAATTCAGGACGAAAAAATGTACAGAAGGATAATTATAAGGATATTAACTTTTTTATACTTCGAACGGTCGGAAAAGTCTGTCCAGACCACCCATACATTTTGTATGAAATATACGCTTTTTGATATATGTAAACCAGTATTTTGTCTTTTTTCATGGTATTTTCTATTCAAACTGCGTTGTTTATATTCTTTGCTATGTGTTCTAACATGAATGTTAGTATTTTCATGACGAGAGTTCCTTGAAAACCTACCAAACTTATTGGTAATCGCAAGCACTGAAAATCGGATGAGTAATGCACACATTCATTTCAAAGGCGCCGAAAAAGAATAAATATTGTTTTTCATTGATTTAAAAGAGAAAAATTAACAAAAAAGCAACGATTTTTTTATATTTCTTGATTTTTTTTATATAATCGTTGATACATAAGACACCAAAAACTCATTTAGCCCATATAAATGCATGTAAAATGAATGGTGGTCCAGCCAGACCTTTCTGACCGTTCGAAGGAGAAAAAATATCCGACCGACGGAGGGTTAACTGAAAAGGCAGACTATATAAATCTAAATCCTAAATTAAAAAATTACAGAAAGCATTACTTACTTGAAATTCTTATATTAACACTTATATTATATATACTAACAACACATAAAACTTGTGAATAATTAATAATTGGAAACAAGCACTAAATATCAGTGATTACTTTTATTTAAAATAAAACATTTTTAGGGTTTAAATAAGCGAGGCAAGTTTGATTTCTGTAAAAATTGTAAAAGTGCGAAGCAAAATTTTTGAAAAGCACGTGTTTTAATAAACCGTACAGCGATGTATGTTAGTGTGTGTAATAGTGTTGAGCATAGCGCGGTATTAGGTATTCGATACAAATTAAGAAACATTATTTAGAATATATTGGTAATTTTCGCAGAGGAAGCTAGCATCAGTTCGTTTATTAATACCATGTTTGTCTAAGAAAATAAAAGCCGATTCCGCAAAGCGTCTTTGTGGCACTTTCGACTCATGATGAAGAACCTTTGCGTCATAAAAATTGAACGTATGGTTGTTTAGTTTTAAATGTTCTGTGATCATTGTTTGTCCTTGATTTTTGTTTCTTTAAGTTAATGCCGTGTTGTTTTAAACGTTTAATAAATTTAAACGGTTCTGTCCTGTTTAGCCCATGTAGGTAGAATCACAGCTATTGCAAGAGATCTTATAGGATACTCGTCCCAAACTAGTGCGCGGCTTCAAATTTGAGAAAAGGGAATTAAGCGTTAAATCGATGTTGCATACTAAACGAAGATTTGCGTTATAAAAAAGTTTTTTCCACAAAGGATAAAGTTCCAATGTAAGGCAGGCAAATTGTACTTTCAAAATCATTATCCTTTGTGGCAGTTAAGCTCAGATTCGGGTTAATTATTTTGTTTTTTAAAATAGTAAGTCTATTTTTTTGACGGATTTTATAAGAGCTGGGGGATAGGAGTTGTGTATGAGGGTTTTGAAAATTAAATCTAAGTTGGAGGTCCAAAATTGTTTGTCAGAAAGGAGGATAGCATGGTCTACTAGATTAATTATAGTTCCTATTTTAATACTAGAGGGGTGAAAGGAGTGAAAATTTAAAACCTACCAAGTAGGTTTCTTGTACCAGTTAGTGAGAATGGATTATCTATGTTTTCAATAATTCTGACATCTAGAAAGCTAGTGGGGTTACCATGTTCTATTTCGAAAGTCAACTGAACATGGGGGATACAAGTAATAATGTTAACATATCTGTAATAAAAATAAGCGTCTATGTTGATGGAATTAAAAACTCGTGCTGTAACGATAATTCAGCTAGGGCTGGAAAAATAGAAGAGCCCGCGGGGGTGCCAAAAATTTGAAGATAAAAATTGTCATTCTATTTAAAATAGGTGTTTGTGCTTATGAACTTGACAGATTCTAAGAAACAATGTAATGAAAATGTAGTATGACAGTACAGGAATTTCATCCCATCTAGCTGTTATAGAATCGAACATTAATTGGAAGAAGACGTTGGTGAATAAAGATATGTAATATACAAATAAAAATCAACTGAACTCACTAAATTAAACAAATTTCTTCTCACGTTCCTTAGCATGCCAGGAAAAGTAGGTCTAAGCATTTCCATTAAAGACGAAGACCAATGTGAATAGTGTCTATCATTTTCTAAATCATTTATCCACCACACAGCAGAATCACGAAAATCAAGGGCAAACCCTTTTTGCGATTCTGAATTTGAAGAAAGTTCTAAAGATAATAGCGGAATTGCGGATGAAGTTATTCCTAAAATGATCAGTTAAATAATTAAGCTTATGATTTAATAAATGTAAGGCATTAATAATAAAAACCATACCTATTTTGAATAGTCTCTCCGTAGTTCGTACTTCAGATCGCAAAACATCCACTAAGGCAAATATGTCCATGGTGTCAATATCACAAAATAATCCATTTATAAACAGAGCGGTATCCGTTGGTTGCAAATTAAGATTAGCCAAAAAAATTTCGCTATTATATTTTATTTCTTCACTCACTGGAACAGTTACTTGATTTCTTAGTAATAATCTAGCCTGAAATGTATCACAGTAATAGCATTAAAAATTGAAACTTGAATAGTAATTAGTGTTTCATGCAAATCGCTGTACTTCCCATACAATAATTAAATATTCGAGGAATTAAAAAAAATCAATAATCAATAAGAATTGATTACTGATTAAAAACAATTGTTTTAAATGTTTTCAAATTATTACAAATATTGTAGCACTCATTATTCGTCTTTGTTATATAAAATAAAAAAACTTATAAATTAGATGACAACGTTTAAATATTGTTAAGAATGGGGGTTTGTTAAACCCTTTCGAAATAGTTTATTGTATTTGATTCAATAGCTATTCCGAGGATTTTGTACAATTGAAAATATTAAGGAAAAACTTGATGTTCACTGCTTGTAAGGCGGCTCAGTCGGATGGCGGCTTGAAGTCCAGAATTCTGAGATCGCTGTAAGAATTGGATGCTGAGGAAGAAATTGACTCCAAAGGCACAAATAAGGAACACTGGCTGCGATTAATAATGTATTTATTTACACAAATAATATCTAACACTCGGAAAAATACCACAAAGGTTTAACCCCTTAACTTAGACGAGCAAAGCCCGCGTGCGATTTCTAGGCCAAACGTAAATATTACGGGCATAGCCCGCATATGATAATCGGACAAGAAGCAAATATTACGCAATACGGACATAGTCCGGTACGGCAATTGCAAGTATCACAAAATATTTATCAATACAAAACTGTAATAAACTATAAATCTTTTTCTAGAAAATCTTTATTATAAAAAATAACTAACTAATTATGAATGTAGAAGTGTGTGGTGCAAGAAGCAACTAATACAAATTAAATGAATGGTTTACCCACTGCAACCCATGCCACATATAAATGCTCTTTGGGCTCATTAATAGGCAATGCAAGTGCCATCCTAATTAGAAACTGATTTCATTTGAATTGAATTGGCACATTTTGGTATTCAAGATTTTTAAAGTAAAACTTATTTGGACGCGACTAGGGTGTAAATCAGTACAAATGCAACGGAACTGCGTTACACCAGAATTGTACGTCATTCGCTCTCGATGAAATCATTTCAATATGGGTCGATCGTGTATGTGAATAGAGATCTGTCGTTGTATGCGTACTGACATCAATATTGTATGCGTACCGATATCAACAAGAAAATCGGCATTGATAAATAAACATTTTAAAGCTACAGAAGTTATTAAAATGGAAAATATTTTTAGACAGACAGATATTACAGCTGTTCGAAGATTGAAATTATATCGCCAGCAAAAAAATAAAAAAAATACAAGCAGCCAATGAATGTATGTTAATTTTAATTACATGAAGTTCTTCAAACACAATTACATGATGAGTGAAGTTGCGAAAACAATAGGCGTTGTTTAACATAATCCACTGTGTGAACGAATATTACAGAATATATTAATCAGCAATTACTTCATTTCTCTAATGAAGGTTCGTTTCTAAATGCTAATTACAATGACAAACCGATCTAGTCATAATTGAAGTATGACTTTAATTACATTATTGCTTTTAAATATTATACATATTTTTAATGCTACTACAAATATATAATTTATAATTTATCATTATATTAATGTGCATAATGGTTGACACTAGAGGTGGGTCGTTGACGGTTTTGCCGTCAACGAAACGAAACGGTTATCGGGGTTTCGTTAACTAGTTAAATAACTAGTTATTTTTCAACTATTAGTTATTTTTAACGATTCAACGCTGGCAACGTTAAGAAACTGATAGTTGAAATAACTGTTTCATTGAAAGTTGGTAATATGAAGTTTTTCTTATAAAAGCCAAGTTGACGTCAACTGATTTGATGAATAAAAAGAATGTGAATTGTCACATTTATTACATATATATATATATATATATATATATATATATATATTATATATATTTCACATTTATTATTATTAATACTAAGGTTTAATTTAAAAAAACTTAAATATTATCGTTACAGCAAAGCCATATACTAAAACATCGAATTTATATGTTATATAAAAATAGCAATATAAAAATATATAGTTATATAATAATGTTATGAAAAATAAAAAATCAATTTTCAGGCTTGGTTTAAAAAAATATTACAAGACGAATGTTACGAGAATTTTATGAAAAAATATTAACCATTGAAAACTATAATAAATGCAACTGATTTTCTAAAATTGAACGATTTGGCGCATGCTGCAATTTCTTTTACTCGTAATATGTATCCGCACATCGGCAATATTACAAAAGCAGTAGCCTAACAATAAGCGATTTTCATAGTATTAGTTGAACCATTTTGAGGTCAGATCTAGGTTTTAGGTACCTGCGTACGTTCGTTTTCGACAACGAACGAATTTCTATATCGTTGAATAACTAACTGGCCGCCATGTTTTCAACGACTATCGGCGGCCGATCACGCGATGCTGTGACATGCACATAAAAAAAATCTAAACTAAAATGCTATTTTTGATTGGTTGTCGAGCAGTATTAGATGCATCTTCGAGTGCATGTGTATAATAGATGCTTTTAAGCATATCAATAGTAATTATACTGTAAAAACCAAACAGCATACAGCAAATAACAGATATGATACAATCAACTATGAAAATATGTTCAGAAATTTTTCAAGTTTAATTCATTGCCTAAATATAGAAATATGTTTATTTGCCTTTTTTCTAAAAAATTTCAACCTTATCCTTTTACCACATAGGATGGCAAACACATGCAATGTCTAATTTTAAATTATGAGGAATTTTTCAAAATGAAAGCTACATTACTTACTCAATACCAAATAGAAATTTCATTAGAACTTGTTTACAAAGATTATACCTAAATATTCATCAGCAGAGTTGAAAAAACTATTAATTTAATTTATCTCTTGTAAAATTCCTTATATAATATTATATATTTTTTTATTTAGTACTATCTTATTTTTACACCATTGCCGGGGTAAAGGTTCAGTTCGTCCTTTTTATCCTAACCACACGTAATGTTTTATAGAGGTTAGATTAATGTACGTAATGTTCATAGTTTTATAAAAGTTTACATCTGGTAAATCTAAAGTGAAACTAACAATGCTTATCATAAAACCATTATATAATCTTTAAGCCCCACTCTACCCTATCATCATATACTGCTGAACTCGTTTTAATGCTGGAAATATTGAAACATTTGTAACTAATTTTTAATATATTTCATTCCAGATCTCGTAATTTTTTCACATTTATACAGGCGTGTGTTCAAAAGTTATTTGTGTTATTCTTCTTATTTAAATTGTTGACTGTTATAACTCGAAATAGGTTATTCGACAAAGTGTCACGATTTCAAATTTAGGTTATTAATTTACATAACAAATAAAAAATAATACAATCTAGAAAATGTTTGTTAGGGATCACGTGTTTGTTTCGTTCAGGGCCGTATTGTCAAAACGTTTGTTCATGACTTTGTCGTTAAGCAAATATAAAAACAACCCCTCAGCTAATCTTCTTTTGCTTTAAGAAAAAATGCGACATTTCTATATCAAACTCTGAACAGTAAATGAATAGTTTCGACAATTTGTTAAGTTATCATGTTTATTTGTGTGTTTTACCATCTGGGATGTTAAAAAAAATATATTTTAACAATATGCACATACTCATACCATGTATTAATAATGGTTTCATGTTATATTAGTATACAAAATTGTAAGTGTTTTATTATTATTATTATTATTGTTTTTCTATTAAATTTCTTACATATTATTTATTTAGTTTTAATTTTTATAGTTAAATTGATTACCACTGAATGAAGGCTAAGATGCTAGCCGAAACGTATGTATTTTAAATAGATACATTTTTAAAAACTCTCATACTATTTTTAATGATGTAACTCAAATTAAACATATTATATCAACATCAAATTCAAGACTATTCAATATATATATACATATATCTTATATATAAAATTCTTCTGTAACAATGTAAGTTTCATTAATCCTCCTAAACTATAATTCGGATTTTCATGAATCTTCCTGAAGTTTGTTCGGGAAATTTTCTAGAATGTTTTGATTCATAGAAATATAGTTAGATTGAAGAAATAAATGGAAAAAATTACAAAAAAACGCTTATCATTGTTTGACCTTTAAAATATTTAAGACATGGTTTGACATTAAAAACAAATGACAACTGTCATTTGCCAAACATTTCTATTCACTTATAGGCTAAGGCAATATTAAAATATAATAAATTCATGATTAAAAATAAAGAAAATGTAATGTCTACATTATTATTGTCGAAAAGCAGCTGAGATGTGCCATAATTAAATTAATATAAGATGAAAATAACATAACATGCGTCGGACAGTCTGCGCAGGCGTCTGACGCGCACGGCGAATCGTGTTCTCAACGTACGCGTGGTTCGTGGTTTGCTTTTGCTTGCAATAATTTTGATTGCGCACTTTGCGAACAGATTCGCCGTACGAATTCGTGCAAAGAAGACAAGCCATAAGTGATTGCGCTCAAAAATATTCAATTTGCGGTCGTTTTGCCTTACTATACTAAGTCACAATACAAAAAAATACTTATTCAAAAAATTATTCAGAAGTTTCATTGTGTCAAAAATTCATATGGTTGGCATTTTGTACGGAATATTTACTCAATGGAGCGCTTTGGGTCTAAACTTTTTTTTACTGTTTTCCAATTCGTTTGGAATTTTGGAATCAGGCTCATCTTACTCTCAAGTTCAAAAGTGAAAACAATTTAGACTCCTTTGCACTACCCGAGGGGATGCCATTTCTTTTCAGTGGTGTAATAACGTTGGGTGTGGATAAAAGAACTAATTATAAGAGAAAAATGTTTAATAATGTTTTTCAAAAAAGCACATACTTTTCAAGTTACTGGCTACTGAAAATTTGTTTCTTTTTTGCGTTTTTTATCAATAAAAGTAAAATTATATCAATAAAAATCCTAATAAATCGCTATTTTACAGTGTTCTAGAAACAATATTAAGTTAATTATGA